TCATGTTCCTCCCAAAGCAACACACTCAAAGGATGCAACATCATTAACATTCTTTCTGTCAAAAATGCTTACTACGTCCAAGGAACCAATGAAACAATCCATGTTGAGAGACACTCTACAAAATAAGTGACTCCTGAAAATGTCAATCATGAAAGACAGAAAGGTTGATCCATATTAAAGAAGACTAAAGAGACATGAAATCCTTTGTGGTTATATTTAAATAAACATTACATATGTGTGCCTTCTAGAACTTCTTTTAGCGAACAAAGTCTTATTACATAAAAATAACTTTAACCATAATAATAGATTCATGTTATCTTAAAACTTTCCATTAAACATCAAACGTGCATGTCCCATGTTCAATTATACATATGAAGGCCTTAATTTTCAATAAATCATTTCAAATCCAATTGTAATATTTTGACCCAGAAATGCAGAGACATTTGGGAAAATAGTATATTAACCATAAGAGGGCATATATTGAAAAGAAATTAATGTGCTTAAGCTTCAGTTTACTGAAACAGGCAGTAATGAAAATCAATTAAAAAAAAACAAGTTAACCTAAATATAGTTTACTAACCTGTTTGTTGTTCTCTGCCATGGAAAGCTGCAACGCCAAGAGCATGGAGTCTGCACCACATAGAGTAGTTCTCTCAGAGTTACAAAGAGCATGCCAATTCCTTCTAAACTCTTTAATCATATCCAGGACAGACTTCTGATTAAGCGCAGCCATTCTGCTAAAGTAGGACAGAATACAGTGTTAAAGTGCCTTATTTTAACTGGAAATTAACATTTAACATGTGTAAGCAAGCACAGTTAGAGAAAATTATATAGTGAACAAGAGGTCATTTCATATTTACTGAGATTGCTTTTAATTAAATTTAGAAAAACAGAATAATATAATTTCTTCCCAATCATATTTTCCTTTTAGTTTTTTTAAGCCAAATTTTTTCAAATAACATCCAAGTTTGAATTTTGAAAATTCACACAAAACAGACATGTAAATTCTGCAAGCTTATAATTAGACACAGACATAGCTAAATAAAACTATATTTTAAAAATACTTATTTAGAGATAGATGGTAATATCTGTGATAGACTACAAAAACAGAAAAAGGAAAAAAAAGAAAGGAAAATAGCCAATTTCCTCCTATCCCTATGTTATATGGCCCCTTTGAATCTGGGCCAAACTTGTGACTTGATTTGACTAACAGAATGTAGCAAGACTGACATTATGGGAATTCTAAGCCTAAGCCTTAAGAGGCCTGTGCAGAAGAGTTAATACAGCAGACCTGATTGCTATCCTTTGTGGAGCTGGAATCTGAGAACTCAGATTTCAAGAGGATTTCCAATAAGAGTGGCTTACTGTGCTAAACTGTAATACAATATATTAATAGTTTATGTTGAACACTTGCTTTCCTTCTGAGTCTAGAATTTTGGTACATGCCAGACAGAGGATGCCTATGTGCTTGGCCCCCAGTTAAAATACTGGGCACTGAGTCTGTAACAAGCTTCCCTGGTAAACAACACATCACATGTGTTGTAAAAAACCTGCTACTGGAGGAATTAAGCATGTCCTGTGTAACTCTACTAGGAAAGGACCTTTGGAAGCTAGTACCTGGTCTCCCCTGAACTTCATCTGATATGCCTTTTCCCTTTGCTGACTTTGCTTTGCAACCTTTTGCTGAAATAAATCATAGCTATAACTACAACTATACATTGAGTCTTCTGAATCCTTCTAGCAAATCATCGAATTTGATGGTGGTCTCAGGAGCCTTCCAACTCAAGACCTTGCAGCATCAGCTCTCACTTTATTGCTGCTCTGAGACTGCTGTATGAAGAAGTCCATACTAGCCTAGTTGGTAGGTGCTCCATGTGCAAACAATACCAACTCATAGACATGTGAATGAGGCTATCTTAGGCTATCTAGCCCAAGTCAACCTGCCAGTTGAAATGAAGCCACACAAGTGATCCCAGGCAAGACCAGCAGCATCATCTAGCCAAGCCCAACACAAGTTGTTGGTTTATGGAATCATAAGCAAATAAAATGAGCATTAAGTGAAAATACTTTATTTTAAAGCCACTAAGTTTTAAGATGGTTTGTTATACAACAATAAACAATATAATATCTAATATTTAGGACCTTAATTGGTGCCAGATACTTTTCAAAAGCTTAATATTATCTCATTCAGTTATTTTAAGTGTCCTAAGAGATAGGTCTATTATTATCTTCATTTTACTTAAAGTAATGCTCCATGTCACTCAGATGAACAGACATAACCCCAACATGTCTAATTCCATAAGCTGTGCTCTTAAATCACCATATTACAGAACTTCTCCTGATGCAGACAAAAGCCTTTCAAAATAATTTGATGTGATGCCAATGTTTTACATACTCAAGCTTATATAAGGCACCCAACTCCTCTGTCTGACTTTACAGACACACCTGCTATAAGTTTTCTATTTTTTGTTTTCCTACTTTAAGTACCCAAGTCTCCAACATATTCACATGCCCATCATCTTGTTTTGGATATTTTTCTATACTCATCCCATTTACTGCCTCCTTCTGTTATCCTTTTCTTCTATTTTTATGTGGCATAAACAGAATCTCAGATATTTACTAGGCATCTTGAGTTTGTATGATCAAGAAAAAGGGCATAAGCCATTTATAAAATAACATTTAAATTATAGACATAATCTGTGTTGCAATTGAAAGATACAAGTAGAAGACTGTAGATTAAAATATCTAAGTATAAATCCTCATAAATAGCTAAGAGTTATATTTCTCTTCAAAATATCACCCACATCTCTTAAAAGAATAAAAAAGTGAAGTATCCACTTCAGTTATATGATCAGTTTGCCTGAAATAAATTTTTAACTGTAAATTACTCATTGGTACTATTTAAAAGGCAGTATTATTATGAGTTTAGATTGCTAGGAATGAAGACTTCTCTGGAATTAGACCATTCTGAAACCTGGCTCCACCACTTACTAGCTGTGAGATCTTAATCAAGTTACATCATCTCTTCCTGCCTCAGTTTCTTCCTAAAATGAAAATAATAGTTCATATTTCACAAGGTTTTGTGAAAATTAAATGACATAAATAGAAGGAAAGCTTTAGAACAGTGCCTGGCACATATAAAAGTACATTAGCTATTTTGATGCATTATGAGTTTTTTCTAAGTGGTTTTGAGTTAAAATTGAAACAGCATTACTATTGGAAACAAAAAAACTAACAGTCTCCTCCTGGAGTCAGTAAACTTTTTGGAAAGAAACAAATAGTAAATATTTGAGGATGCAGACTACATAGTCTCTATCACAACTACTCACCTTGACCTTTTAGTATGAAAATAGCCACTGACAATACATAAACAAGTGAGCATAGCTGTGCTCCAATAACTTTATTTATAGACACTGAAATTTGAACTCCATATAATTTTCACACATCACAGAATGTTATTGTTCCTTTCCTTTTTTCCAACCACTTAAACTTCTAAAATCCATTTTCAGCTCACGAGCTGGCTGCACAAAAACAGGCAGTGCAGATGGTTTGCCAAACCCTGGTCTAGTACCAGTTCTACCAGTAGCTAGCTGGCTGTGTGAGGCTGAAGAGGTGGTATCATCACATAGAAAACTAGAATAACACACATCTGCCCTTCTTACCTTCTAGCCAGTTGTGAGGAGTCAATGAGATAATGAATATGCAAGCACTCTGAATGGAAGGCTGCACTATACAAAAAAACAGTAGCAAAAGGCAACAGCAATAACAGACACTAGTTTTAAAATATTTGGTTCCCAAACTGCCCTGGAACAAAAACTGTGAGACAGAAAATTGTCACTGGGCAGACAATGTGAGATGGTTAAAAGAACTACACTTCTGAGTAATATACCACAGGGGTCACTTTCAGGCTCCACCATTTATTAGCCGTTTGTCTGTATTTAAAATCTCTGATACGTTTCTTCACCTGTAAACGGGAATGATAATTTCTAACTCACAGAATTATGAGATGTTAGTGAAACAAGTACATAACCCACCTAGAGCTGGGCTCTTAGTAGATGCTCAATTTTAAAATGGCAGTTGATGCTGCTATCGTTGTCAGAGTGCAGGTCCTAAAGTTTCCTTGGAAAGATTTATTATAATAACAGGGTGGCGGAAAGTTGAGGAACATAAAGTCCGCATTCGTCGTGGAACTAGAACCCTAGTTTCCTGCCCAATTAATGGACTTCAGGTAGGCATCTATGGACCTCAAGCTTCCATTCCGCAGACAATCCCTCAGGACCTCCCAGCTGCATTATTAAATACTGTGAACTCCATTCAAGGACCCCAGACGCAACCAGCCTCCAGCGCGGAGCCACTGCACAAGTAACACCCCAGGTCACAGGGCACTTTGCAGTCACCAAAACCCCCTCACAAGCCACAGCTAGAATCATCACTTAAAGGTGCGACAGGTGGGCGAGGCAGAGGAAAGACTAACCTGGTTCTGAGGTGATCTGCAAGGTGCTGACTCGATTGAGGAACGCCCCTCCGGGTTGCCTTCTCAAGGCTGCTCTAGTCGCTGCGGGTTACTTTTCAAATCTCGCGGGAAGGGCCGAGAGCCAATCGCTGCGCTCGCCCTCCGACCCGGAAGCAGAGCCAGCGCGCGCTGCGGCAGCCCTCAGCGGAGATCAACTTCCCTCTGGTCGCCTCTCGGCGCTGTCTGGTTCGTATAGCGCGGGGAGCCCAAAGGGCCGCGTGGCTTTGCTCCGGGCTGACCCACGCTCCTACCCTATCCCGGGGAGTTCCTCCCTCTTCCTTTCGACCTTGGGCTCAGTGAGGTGGGAACGGCGTCTCGCGGGACTCTCCTGGCCCGGGGAGAGGCTTTGGGGCTCATTGCAGTGACTTCTCTTTCCCTCCCCGCTCTGCTCTTCCAGTTTTAGAGGGGCAAGTCCTGCCTGTCTTTTACGGTGAGGTCCTGAAAATGTAGTGACACCGTACACTGCTTTAATGAGCAGTAGGTGAGGAGCTGCGACTGAGTTTCCGAATCTCTAATCTCTTGCACTTCCCACCGCCTTGCCACCTGCTGGTCACCCACCCTTAGCAAGTGTCCAGTCTCAGATGCCAGTTCCTAAGGTTATTAGTTTATAAGCTTGCTGAGATGGGACTCATCTGATTCTCAGCAGATACTCACCAGGTGCTTAATGTGTTTCTGAGCCCAACTGTTTTTAGGAAAACACCTGAGTCTACTTTAAATTAAAAAATAATAATAATAAAAAACTCTTTAAAATCTATCATTCTCATGTGGGATTGCTGCTTCCAGAATGCACACTTGACCCTGACAGGTTGAGGCTTTCGGTCTGGTTTTATGAATATTGTCTTTATATCACACATTTGGCACTCCTTCCTCAAGATCCTATATTGTGTATCTGCTTATGTGGTACCACTTTTAATGCTGAATCATAACTATGCCTTCTAGTTATGATCTCCAAGCCAGGAGGTTGTGTTTTTCTTTTCTAGCAGTGGTGCCCCACATGTAATGAAGTCTTTCAAATCCTGACACTGCTTATGAGGCAAGTTAGTTAACTTACTAAAGCCTCAAGTTCTTCATCTGTAAAATGAGAACCATATGTTGTACCTTTATATTTGCACACATATTAGGTGTGATGCTGTCAGTAAAATGTTTAACATGGCACCTACAGATAGTGGTCCATAAATGTTAACTGTCATTAATTTTTATGAATATATTTGCTGTTAAAGTGATTCCATCTTTAAGTACTCACTATAGGTAGTTTAACCAGAGTTTTATGGTGTTATATTCTGCTGGTATCACTTACAAATGTGGAAAAGAAGAAAGCTGTGGAGCAGGAGTTCAACCATTAATAATTAGATTGAATTTTTTCTTTTGAAATGTCTGTGGCATTACAATGTCACAATCTTATTTTGATGCATTTGCTGAATGACTAACACTCTGACTGTTTTTAATTATATCTGTACTATAATTCACAGTTTCGTGACCTTGTCCAGTAGAAGGCTATTTTATTTTTGCAACTGCTTGAGTTTTGGTATACAAGATGAAGCAAGATGCCACAAGAAATGCTGCCTACACTGTGGATTGTGAAGATTATGTGCATGTTGTAGAATTTAATCCCTTTGAGAGTGGGGATTCAGGAAATCTGATTGCATATGGTGGCAATAATTATGTGGTGATTGGCACATGTACATTTCAGGTTAGTCTACAAAACTGCAGTGAATGACAATGAAGTTATTTCTCTGATAAGAAAACTTATATAAACCAAAGCTGAACTTTGATAGTATACTGCATTTGAATGTAAAGAAAAAAACAAAAACCAAAGGTAAGAAGAACCACACAGAAAGACATTCTCAATAATATATACCTGAGATTTGTGAAAATATTATATAAATGATGAAAAAGGATAGTATGAGACTCCTCTTTTGCCTCATGATTAGTAGTGGAATATTCTGTTAATTGAACGCCATGATTAACTGAACATTAGTATGGATAGGAAAAACCCCAATTAAATGAGATCCAATTAATTAAAATTTTTCTACATAGAAAACAAGCTAATACTGAGAGCCTAAAAAAGCAAGAGATTTTATAGCTTTCATGGTATTTAGCTTCCGTGTTAATATGCTCTCTTATTTTTCATACATCCAGAGTCAGAGTATACAAATATAAAAGTATAGGATTATATTAATTCAGCAGGCAGTTCAGCATAGCCATTAAGATCATGAATTCTGGCATCAAAATGCTTAAATATGTACTCCTCCCTGGCTTTACCTCTTACTAGCTATTTGACCTGGAGCAAGTACTTTACCTCTCTTCTATAAAAATGAGGAAAATAATGTTTAATAGGGTTTTATGAGACTATCATGAGTTAGTATGTATGAAGTTCCTAGAAGGCATCTGGCACATTGTATTCTGCATGTATGTTTTAGTTGTCATTGTTTTGGGCAGTGGTGACACTCCCAGATTTAATTGCCATATTTAATCACCAAAATAAAATTACTTTGGTAAACACCATGTCTTCTCATAGGAAAGCTAGTTCTACATGTAAGAGACTTTGAGCAATGAAACTTTAACACTAGGAACTCTGGTTACTCCTTTGTTTACCAGAACATTATTTTTTATTTGTTTTGTTTACCAGAACATTATTAATAGAACTATAGTTCTCAATTTATAATTAGTAAATGAGGTAATTTGGCAGTCACCAATTCTGAAAAATGTATAATTGTATTACTGAAGTGATATATAATTATAAACATTTCCTCTTTTACTCATGAGGCCATTCCACATTTTACATTGTTTTGACATAAAAATGCAGTTTAGCATTTTACAGTACAATAAATATGTAAAGTTATACAAAATTGGTATGTATTCATATTTATCCTAAGAGGGAGTTAAGTTTACTTTAAAAGTTTAGTTGGTTGGTGTCTGAATAGAACATGAGAGCTCCTAGACTATCCCACATTGTGTCTGAGTGGAGGTAAGAATTTCTAGCTTTTAGGCTACATATGGCCCTTACCCTGACTTCAGCTGGACTTCCACATTAGGACCATAAAAAGTCATATTAGATTAAGGCATTGTAACATACTCTTAAAAAGACAGAAGAAACCATTTCTCTATGCAGGCCATCAGTAAAAGAATAAAATAGCCCCCTACAGGTGAAACTAACTTTGTACTTCATTACTTTTTTTTTTTTTTTGAGACAGTCTCACGCTGTTGCCCAGGCTAGAGTGTCATGGCGTCAGCCTAGCTAATGGCAGCCTCAAACTTCTGAGCTCAGGCGATCCTCCTGCCTCAGCCTCCCAAGTAGCTGGGACTACAGGCATGCACCACCATGCCTGGCGAATTTTTCTATATATTTTTAGTTGACCAATTAATTTCTTTCTATTTTTAATAGAGATGGGGTCTCACTTGTGCTCAGGCTGGTCTCGAACTCCTGACCTTTAGTGATCTGCCCGCCTCGGCCTCCCAGAGTGCTAGGATTACAGGCGTGAACCATCACACCCGACCTGTATTTCATTACTTTTAAAATTAATAGTTGTGAATATAAAATTGTATTCAGAAACACTGAAAAAATATATTTCTAGTTTATGATCAATTAAGAAATGTTGAAGGAGAAAGTCAAGAAGGGAGAACAAATTAGGAAAAGAAAAAGACAAAGACGACAGGTGGTAGAGAAAATGGGAGAGAGAAGGAAAATGAGAAAAAAGAACTAGTAAAAACATTTGTGTTGTTCCATTATGACTTATGGTCACATGTATTGTCTCAGTTGATTCTCAGACCTATTAGATTAGCAGTATAGGTCTTATTCTCAAATTACTAAGGAAAAAATTAGATTATTATTATTTATATATTCACAGGTGATGAATATAAATCATATTCTGTGCCAGGTGTTGGAAATGTAGTTAAGACTGTTTCTGAATAAATTATTGCTTTCCTTTGAAGTGATTTAGGTAAACACTGTTAAACATTATTTGTATTCTCATACTAGAACCTTCAAGTTTCGTAGCACTTAAGTTCATGCCTCTTGTCTTCAGAGAAAACTAAGTAAAGGTGAATTAAATTGAAAGATTTCCACATTCTTGTCAGAAAAGCAATCCTTATTTTAAGACCATTAAGAAAACCCTGAAGATATAGTGAATTTGAATTTCAATAGCATTTTTCAGACTCTCATGTTGTCCTTTTGAATATGGAAATATGAACTGAATGCTATAATACTATTAACTGGTGTCATGTATTTGTCAAATATTCATAAAGTACATATCAGATGCCAGGAAGTTAAAAAAGTGAGGACACTGCCCTCAAGAAAATATTTAAATGTAAAGCAGTGCAATAAAACTGCTGTAAACTCCCTAAGTTTAAAGGGCACAGGAATATGAACATTTGTAAGTCTACTCAGTCTTTATTAAATGAATCGAGGCCTCTGGTGGAACTTGAATGAGAACATTGATTTAGGCAAGCACATTTGATTTATGTAGAACATGAAATTGAGAAGGATACCTTAGTACTTTGCAAACTTTACTTAACAAGTATTTATTGAGCACTTTTTATATGCCAGACTGTTCAGAAACAAACATTATTTAATAGATTGGATTAATGGGCCAAGTTGAACAAGCTAAAATTTAATAAAGATAAATATATAAAGTCTTAAAATGATAGACTGCTAGAGCTGGAAGGGAGAATTGTGACTTAGGGATTTTAGTCACCTGAACATGCACCATGAGTCAGTGCAATGATTAAACTGCCAAAGGGAGCTAATTCAACGCTGCCAAGTGGAAATATAATGTGAGCCACAAATAAAACGTTGTAGTAGCCACCTTACAAAAAGTAAAAAACAGGTGAAATTAATTTTAAGAACAATTTTTTTCTTAAAAGTATATCCAAAATATTTTACATGTAGTCAATATAAATCATTGAGATATGTTATAGTCTTTTCATAGTAAGTCTTTGAAATCTGGTATTTATTTTACACTTTATAAAGTGTACACACATCAGATTGAACTAACCGCATTTCAAGTGCTTAATAAGGCCTCATGTATCTAGTGGCTACTATATTAGCACAGTTCTCTCTATCTTCCTCTATAAATTGCCAATCTTAATAATCTTTAGCTCTTAGCAGCATATTATAATTTATAGGAAATAATGTGCTTGAAGACAAAATTCAGAGTAGTATTGAAATCTTTAAAACTGTCAGAACAGTAAATGGATTTTATGTTGTCACCTCTATTTGATTAGAGTTTTGCTTATAGTGCTTTAAAATTGATGCTGAATCTGCTTCTCAGAGTGTTCACCTAGGGGAACTCAGTTATGGACAGATATTTGCCATCACTAAATCAGACTTGCTATGTATGGTTCCAGAAATGGAACTTGGAGCAAAGAGTAGAATTTACATGGAAACAGATTGTGGCTTAATGTTAAGGAGAACTCTTCTAATAATTAGAGCTAGCCCCCACTTAATAAGCTCCCTGAAGAAGTAGCTTTTCCTTCTCACCAGAAGTATTCACAGAGGGGTTGCGTAAACTCTTTTCCAGATGTTCTACTAGAGATTCAAGCATTAGATGAAAACACTGAACTAGATAAACTTCATAGTCTTTTCTAACTGAAATTCTGTTTGGACATAAAATGGGTGTGGTACGAGGACCTGCCAGTTTCAGACCCTTAGAATAGTGCTTCCATCAACTTGGCTTTGCCCCAACCCCAAATATGCTGAAGCCTTGTATAATTATTTGTATTATAGCAAGTTTTCCAAAATGTCTTAATTTCCTGCCTATACAATACTGCCTACACCCCAAACTAAATCCAAAATAACATTCATCTCTGCCTGTACCACACGCACACCCTGGCCTTTTAGTTGGCTCAATCATGGACATTGCTGCCAGGAAAAAAGGTTTCACTGGTAATACAAAAAGCTCAGGCTATACAGTCCCTGGGATTTCTTTATCCCCTTGACCACCCAATAACTCTATATATAATTTGGTAACAATTATAGGACCTAATTGTCAACAGTATTGTTACAGTAGCAAAATAGTGTGTATTTTCATGTAAAGATTCATTTTTAGAAGATTGATTTGTCAAGTGTGGAAAAATAGATGTAACCCAAACTATGAAGTCAGCTATGATTAGGTTCCTAAACTTATTTTAAAATTGCTTAAAGGCTGCTGCCTTGGCATATCTGGCTGTTAGTTATACAGCTATAATACACACAATTTATGAAGTGATAAAATTTGATAGTATTTTTCTTTCCTTGATAAGTATATTTCTATTTCCTTCTTCCATTTATGGAAAAAGTTTTTGCTCTTAATGCTAAGTTCACCTGATATTTAAAGTTATTTTTTCAATGGGTATCTGAATTATATAGTGAAAGACATGTACAACATATCTGTGAAATGACTTTACTAGGATCCCAAAGGCTATCCTGGAAAAATCAACATATCCACTTGGATTCCATTAAAGTTTACATTATAAAACTTTGCATTTAGATTCAGGGTGGATGGAATCCTTAGAACATGCATTTGGGTAATTCCTATCAATTTAGACATGTATTCCATTAAATAGCAAGTTTTACCCGCTCTGGATTTTTTTCCCTGATGATATTTTATAATCTCATAAGCTTTTATAAAAGGTAACTATAGTTACTTAATACAGAAGATTCCTTGGACAAATCTGTCATGAAAATTTTTACTTTAGTCTCTAGACCCAGTTCAGATATCTATTTAAATAACAGAACAAAGATTTACTTATTTTTATAATTGCAATATTTTATGCTTATAACATACATTATCTATGGTGTTTTATAATATTAATATACCACAGCTTGCTTATCTGTTCTTGTATTGTTGGCTATTTGGGTTGTTTTTAGTTTTTTAACTATTGAAAACATGCCAATATACATATTCTTATGTTTTCTGTTTGTATTTTTGTACTCCCTCCTTTCATTTTCTTCCTCCCTGATAGTTTGGAAGCTTTATATGCTATTTCTCTTTTTTTAATGGTCACCAAAGACATTTGAACATTCATGCTTAGACAAAGTCAAAATTAATATTTTTACCTTCTTCATGAAGAGTAGAATCTTAAATATTTGAACTTTTCTCTTTCCTCTGGACTTACTATTGTCCAAGATTTTAGTTCTCTTTCTTTTCATTTTAACCCATAACTTAGATAGTTTTGTTTTATATGACTAATATTTGTTTACATTTACCCACTTGTTTGCTTTTGATCTTTTTAACTCACTGTTTCTTAAAGAATCCCAAACCTCCATTCTAAGATTATCTTTCTTCACCCAAGAGCCCATCCTTTACTACAGGAGTTGGCACAGTTTTTTAAAAGGCCAGATAGTAAATATTTTAGGCTTTGCCAAGCACTTAAGGTCTCTTGCATATTATTCTTTGTTGTTGTTTCGTTTGTTTTTTTACAACTCCTTAAAAACGTAAAAATGATTCTCAGCTTGTGGACTATACAAAACCAGGCCATGGGCCAGATTGGGCCTCTGAGCCATATTTTGCCAACTATTACAGAAATGCTAACTCTTATTTTTTGTGTGTTTTTCTAAAGATATTTTTAATATACCCTCATTGTTGAAAATCAGTTTTGTGTGTCTGCAAGTCCACAAGTGTCTGCAAGTTATTTTCTCTGAGCATTTTGAAAATATTATTCTACTGTATTCCTGCTTTTGCTAGTTCTTCTGAGAAGTCAATTGTTGGGCTAATTATTTCCCTTTTATAGGAAATCTTTTTTATACAAGACTAGTCTTTTCTAGCTGCAGTTGCTAAGATTTCTCTCTGTATATGTGTGTGTTGTCTGTGTGTTTTCTGAAGTTTCACTACATAATATCTAGGTATAGATTTCTTTTGATTTAAGCTGCCTGTGATGTATTGTCCTTTCTAAATATGGCTGTTGATGCATGTCATCAAGTATGGAGAACCCTTTGCCATTATCTCTTCAAATACTGCCTCTTCTCCCATTCCCTCTATTCTCTCCTGATATAACCCAGATAAGATATATGGTGGAACTTCTCAGTGAATCATACATGTTTTAACCTCTCTTTTTTCTTCTCTCTGTACTGCATTTTGAGTCATTTTTTCATATCTGTCTTCCAACTATATCTAAGCATTGATTTTTTTTTATTTCAGTTATGATATCTTCACTCTAAAACTTCTGTTTGTTTGTTTATAAAACAGGGTCTTGCTCTGGGCTAGAGTGCAGTATAGTGGTATCATTATAGCTCGCTGCAGCCTTAAACTCCTGGCTCAAGCAATCCTTCTGCCTCAGCCTCCAGAGTAACTGAGACTACAGGAGCTCTCTACCATGCCCAGCTAACTTTTCTATTTTTTGTGGAGACAGGGTCTCATTCTTGCTCAGGCTAGTCTCGAACTCCTGGCCTCAAGCAATCCTCCTGCCTCGGCCTCCCAGAGTGCCAGGATTACAAGCATGAACCACCAGACCCAGCCTCCTTTATGATTTTTAATTGACAAATAATAATTGTATGTATTTATGGGATACAGTGTGATATTTTGATGCATGTATACAATGTGGAATGGTTAAATTAAGCAAATTAACATATCTGTCACCCCACTTATCAATTTTGTGGTGAAACATTTGAAATTTAGTAATTTTGAAATGTAAATTATTATTAACTGAAGTCACCATAGTTGTACAATATATCTCAAAAACTTATTCTTCCTATCTAACTGAAAGTTTCTACCCTTTGATCAACATCTCCCCTTTTCCCCATCCTCCTTTCCCTCCTGCTGTAGCCACCATTCTAGTCTGTACTTTTATGAGTTGTGTGGGAACTTTTGGAAGCCTAGGTAGAGGTATTATAGTTCATCCAGGGAGACTTTGCCTTTTTCTTTTTCAGGTGCTTGAGGCCACTACCAACATAAGACCACTTTGAAATAAGTTCTTTGTCATTTTCTAGTCTGCATTGTTAATGTGAATTCAAGCCCCAAACTATGCTAGGGCCAGCTAATGGTTGAGGTGTCTCACAAGTTTCTTTTTCTCTTTCTTGGCTTTTACCCATATTTTGCATGCCAGGGATTTTTGTTTTATTATTTCCTACTTCCCCCTTAAGGGCCCTGGATCTATACAGAGATCTCTCTCTGGACTCCTTCCTTGTATAGGTACTAAGCTTTGTCTCCTATCCCTTGGAAACTGAAACTTTAAGTCTCTAGATGTGGGCAAATGCCCTTACAACAGCTGCATATCCTGTACTCACTCACTTCTCTGGATTTTGATTTTTTCCAATATTTTTGTACTGGGAGAGCTCTTCAGGTTATTGTCCACATTGTCAGAGATAGGTGGCTTGACTTTTAACATTCATTTTTTTCCTTACCTTCTTGTGAAACTGAAATCATTTTAGTAGGACTGAACCAAGTAAATAAGTTGACTTTATTAAACATTATACCCAGATTCAAATATCCAAGACTAAATTAACCAGATTTAGTAGTCCTCAAACTATGGCCCGCAGGCCACATGCTGCCCACTGAGGACATTTATCCAGCCTGCCGGGTGTTTTTGCTGCCGCTGCCTGTCCTACTTAGCAGCCAACTGGTCTGGGCCCATAGTGTGCATGTGTGGAATGTGTGTCGCACTCTCCAACAGTCTGAGGGACAGTGAACTGGCCCCCTGTTTAAAAAGTTTGAGGATCCCTGATTCACTATTCATAGACTATAATAGTGCAGGTGAATTATTTGTAGCATCTTACACATATATGTTAATAGTACCACATATAATACTACATGAAAACCATTGACACTGATTATAATGACTTAGAGGCATCATAAGGTCCCAAAGTATCTTCCATATAATCAAAATTTTATGTTCAGTGTATTTTTTCTGTTGTCAATTGATAATCCATGTATGATAATTCATTTACCTGGAATATTCTGATTCTTAGAACATTTTTATTCCATCCATTACAAAATGTGTCCTAAAATGAAGTATAATATGTTTATCATTTGGTTTTTAGTTGCCTAGGGTTATTTTATGAGGCTTAGAAATCTTTGGATTTTTCTTTATTCAATGAACTAGTTAAATCTCAACATAATTTGTTTTTGAACTTTTCAAAAGCATATACATGGCCTCTTGGTAAATTCTTCACTATGGTGAAATATAAAGTATTGTATTGTTTGTTCTCATAGCTTATTTTTCAATAAGCTATTTACTGTGTCTGCTTAGGAGGAAGAAGCAGACATTGAAGGACTTCATTATAAAACACTGCGAACATTTCACCATGGAGTCAGGGTTGATGGCATAGCTTGGAGTCCAGAGACTAGACTTGATTCATTGCCTCCAATAATCAAGTAAGTCTAAAAGAATCAAATGCAGTATTTATTTATTAATGTACATTGATTGTGTTAAATGATCTGAAATCTTTGACCATAGTGGGGGCTTTTTCCTCCCATTTTCATGTTCCACAACCCCAAATATTAGATATTTTGACATTTGCAATTGGGGCTTATCATCTGAATTTGTGGTTTAAATATACAACCATGACAGTGATGCCATGACCGTGTGTTTGTGCCAGACTACAAAGGTCTTTACCTGAGATTCATTTGAAACACAGTCTTTACGGATTCTTCACCACATTTACCACTTTATTGAAAGTATAACTCTGTTAAAATAACTAAATATGGTTGAGACATTAATGAGCCTTCCTGTCCCATACATAGGCTAAGATCGCATTTTCTTGTCTAATAGTACATAAATCTGTAGTTCCAGTCCTTGGGCTTCAGTTTTTGTGAAGGCATTTAAAAAGATTGATGGCATTTTGAAAAACATCATTTCATTTTTCTTTTTTATGTGCTGTAAGTATTCTTGCAAGAAAAAAATCCTAATAATACCTACTGAGGCCTTCATTACAAGGGCAAGAGTATGTCAGGTTATTTAAGGTTTGATTACAAAACACTAACCTGGCTTCCTACAAATGCCAAATCTAAAAGATACATCCTCTATTCGTAAACAGTACTTAGCAACCATAAATTGGCTATTATTTAGCCAACTTAATTTTTTTAATTAACAAATAATTTAGATACAGTGAAATTCTCAGCTCTTAAGGGTATAGTTTTATCAGTTTTGACAAATGCATACACTTGTATAGCCCACACCCTATTAATGCACAGTGTTTCTGTCACCTCAGAAAGTTTCTTCATATTCCTTCTCATTTAATCCCTGTACTCCATACAAAATGTGTTTTTTGTGTCTGGCTTTATGGTTTTGAGATTTATCTATGTTGTTGTATTTCTTTTTGAATGCTATTTCATTACATTGTGTCAAAATACCACAGTTTGTTTATCCATTCTCCTTTAAGTAAATACCAAGACAGTTTCCAGTTTTTAGCTATTATGACTAAAACCACTATGAGCATCACTGTGTACAGCTTTTAGTGTATATATGATTTCCTTTCTCTTAGGAATAGAATTGGTGAGTCACAGGGTAGATACATGTTTAACATTTTAAGACAGTGCCAGTTTCTAAAGTGGCCCTACCATTTTGTGTTCCCACTAATAATCTAAGAGTGGTCTTCCTATTCCCCAACATTTATTATTATCAGTCTTTTTGATTTTAGCCATTTTAGTTGATAACACAATGACATTTCCCTCTTAACTAATAATGTTGGGCCCTTTTTTGCTTTTGGTTTTTTCCTTCCAGATTTTGTACTTCAGCTGCTGATATGAAAATTAGATTATTTACTTCAGATCTTCAAGATAAAAATGAATATAAGGTATATTGACAAGTATAATTTATCAATCTTTAGAGTTTATTTTAAAACATGTAGTTATTATTTTTTGCTTTTTTAATTGAATTTATCCTGGCTTAAAATGACTTTTTAGGGTCATCATTAAAATAATGTAATTTAGGATCTCATTTATTATAGGCTACTGTAAAGAGGTTCTTAGTAATGACTGCAGATTATAAATCTGATACCACTTACTAAATTAAAATATTAAGTAGGAACAGCAAATAAGAGAATAGAAATTTACACTTGGATATAATAGGAGTATAATGGACATGAATACACATGAAGTAGGAGTTGAAAGTGAAGAGTGAAAAAAGATCAGTACAGCATAGCACAGGCAGAATTACAAAGTAACTAGGAGCACAGACACACACAGGAGCCAGACCCCTTGCATTTTGACCAGTGCTATTGTTTAGTAATGGTGTGACCTTGGCCAAATAATCTGTCTCTTTGTGCTGATATTACCTATAAAATGGAGATAATTATGACATGTGCCTCATAGGATTATGAGCATTGACTGAGCTAATTCATACAAAACACTTAGAACAATGCTTGTCATAGTAAACCCTATATATGTGTTTTCTATTACTATAATAAATAGCCCTCAGGTTGGTTTGAAATTACATTATGTTTTCTTATAAGAATGGTGTTGCCTTCTTGACTTTCTAATAAATCAAAAATATAAATAGTTATATAAATCAGAAGTAAACTATAAACCTTTTTAGTCATTTCAAAAATAGTAAAAATTATGCTCTAAGCCAGGCATCCTCAAACTTTTTAAACAGGGGGCCAGTTCACTTCCCCTCAGACCATTGGAGGGCCAGACTGTAGTTTAAAAAAAACTATGAACAAATTCCTATGCACACTGCACATATCTTATTTTGAAGTGAAAAAACATATAGGCAAAAACACCTGCATGTGGCCCGCAGGCCATAGTTTGAGGACGCCAGCTCTAAGCTATGCACAGTAGACTTAATATACTGTACATGTTTGTTAATTTAAGGTTACATCATGAATAACCAAGTGTATAAACAGCATATAAAATTTTGACCTATCAAAACTTAATATGCTAGTTATAGTAGACATTAAACACTTAATTTAGTTTATCTTGTAGACTATGGCAAAAGCTTTGGAGAATGATTTAGGGGACCTGAATTTGTTAAACTTACATAAGAATGTTTAAACCAAATCCATTTCTTTTTTTATATTAATTTTCTACATAGTGAGAATTACCATATAGACCCACTTTATTAACCTCAGAACTGAGATAAAATTTGAGTTTTGGGAAAGAAGGAAGGGAGAAAAGAAGAACAGTATCCACTAAAATATTCAAGTATCTGACGGGCCTATTTAGGATTGCAACTGTAAAGATTTAGTCAAATTTAAGTTTGCCTGCTCACATAGTCCTCTACCTTGCAACTTCTCATTTGTTCTTTCTACATCTAGAAGAGGATTTCTGTGTTTACTATGACTATGGGCTCTGCGCTGATTGCAACTAGCTGTCTCCAGCGCTGACAGTCATGTTGAACAAATAAAGTAAGGAGGTGAAGCCCATCCTGTGTGTGTGGGTTAAGTAGTAGTGAGTATGCAGCAGGGATAAGGTAAAAAGTCCAGAAGCATTTTATCTCCATACTCCTAAAAAGTTTCTCTAACTTCAAGTTTTATGTACTAAATGAGAAAGAAGGTGATATGAGGACAGGTACAGTAAAAAAGTATGTGTGTTTTTGTAAGAAATACATACTAGAAAAGAAAGAGTAAGCTAATAGCCAGTGCGTTGAATGATCAACTTCTTTCCAAGATAAACCTTCCAGAAAAAGTGAATGTATAAATCATACTTTAAAAATAGCAAGTTGCTTAAGAAATATTTATAGAAAAGAAGCATGCACTGAAAGCTTTTAAAGCACTAAAGTAAAAATATTATGTAGGAATATTATAATTATTATCGTGTTTTCTTATTAATTTTTCCCCTCCTGTCAGATTTTAGAGGGCCATACAGATTTCATTAATGGTTTGGTGTTTGATCCCAAAGAAGGCCAAGAAATTGCAAGTGTGAGTGATGATCATACCTGCAGGTATGTTGTTTATTTTACAAACCACATTTTTTAATTTTGATTTTAATGAGAATTTCATTTTTTAAATTAGAGAAAATGTAACTTTTATATAAATCCCAGGAAATGTTACACAAAAAGAAGCATTATTTAAATCATTGATATGGCACTCATGTTTAGTTTTGAAACCAGTCAGTTGAGCTCTCATCCCAGCTAATGGAAATTTCTCTTGCTGATTTATGGATGTCTTCTTTGTCTGTTATTTTAGATTTGCATTTTTATGGAATCCAAATCTATATTGGATCAAATTCTCCAGTATTGGTCAAGATCAGTAGGATAATAAAAGTTGCCATATTGTGAAGTTACTTCACAGATCCTGTGTGATAAATTAGTGTTTAATAATGAACTGTGAATCTCATCTGCTACATAAGACTCATAGAAAATTTAGTGTTTTGACAAATTCAGCTGTCTCTATTTGAAGCTTTCTATAGATACAATACATTTTAGTATCTTGTTCTTCTACCCCACCCCCTAGTTTAGAATAGATGAGGTAGCTGTAAAATTTTAATAGTGCCTAAAGCTGGAGAATATCACAAGTAAAGAACAAGATGAAAAGCAAGAGTAGCAGGTGGAAATAAGCTAAGGATTCAGGAGTGAAATGAGTGAATCAGTCATTAAAGGGGTGTAAATTGCTTCATTTGCTTTAACAGTACTGTGAGCAAAGAAAAAAAATGCTGCTCAGCTGTTTTGCATAGTTTTAAAGCTATGTGAAAATCATTAGTATTTACTAATACTTACATACATATAAAGCTATTAAATATGTATCACTTCACATTTGAAGTAAAGCTTCTAGCTACTTTTTAAATTTTTAATCTTCTTAATATAGCTCATCTTTTTAAAGTTATAGAGTCATAGGTCATTATTTTTTATGTACTGCCTGTTAAAATTTTCATGTCAGAGACATGAAAGATTAACATGACATTAAGATTCTAGGACGCCAAGTATTACAAAACCAAGTTTGTACAGCAACCAAAAGAGTATATGGGACCACTTTTAAGGTAAAAATTAGATCACTAGAAATGAATGATGGCATTTCAGTTCTTTAAAACATGAACTTTGCTAATCACAAGCATTTGTGATAAAACCTGCAAAAGACAAAAATGACTGTCTTTGCAAGCTAAGAAACAGCCTCTGAATAGTGAACAACAGCTAGAGAGACCTAGAATTACATTCCATACTCTGTTTCTTTTTCTTGTAGTAGACTTTGAGATTTTATTGTAGACTAGTAAAATTCTCTGAAAATTTTGGAGATTGCCATAAGGTTGCCAACTTTTTATTTTGTCAGGTACAAGAATTTTAAAAGTTTACCACCTTCTACCATTACTGTTTTATAAAAGAAATGACTTTATTCTAAAAATTAGAAATGGCTTAACTTAAGAGCAAGTCCTTTAATTTAAACAAATTTAACTTTTTGAAAAAGTCACTACATTGCCCCTTAGTATCTCATTTTGCTGGACTGTGGTTGTTGATATTATTGTTCAGCAAATATTTACTCTCCTTTCTTCCTCCCATGGAAGGAGATTTCCCCCCTATAATGCTTAGCTTTGTGACTTGTTTAGGCCAGTGTAAATATTGTACCTGGTTTGACTTGACCTCCTGTGCTCTGTCATCTGCTATAAGATGAACATGTCCTAGATAGCTACTGATCCCAGAATGAGAAACACAGGGAACAAATATGGACACATCTGGCATTTTATAGACCCATGAGCAAGAAATGTATGCTATTTTTGTAAGCCACTGAGATCTGGGGATTGATGTATAACATCATTATAGCAATAGCTGGGGAGCTAAATTTTTAGAATTCAAAAGCTTCACAAACCAGAAGTAAACAACTCTGATTGGCTATTAAAACCAAACCTCTTAGACCAGAAGCTAAGCAATATAGATAAGATTTAAAAAACAAAAATGAAAACCAGAAGATACAAGTAAAACAAGAAGTTTAAAGTAAGAAGGAGTGGTGAGTTTATATACTTTCATACCAAGAAAGGAAAGGAGGAGTTCTGAGGGAACAGACTACAACAGAAACATATTTCAGTACAATCATTTTCATTAACTTGAAGGAGAGAATTGCCAAGCTATAAATAGATACCAGCCAAATGGCAAATGTGCAATTTAGGCAGAGGAAAGAGCCATTTATGTCCCAGGAATGACTCTTACTTATCACTATACTAAAGGAATGCCAAACATAGACTGGGTCTACATGTTGGTAGTAAAGGTACATTAATGAAATCCTTGTCTGATCCTAGTCAAAGCCTGTGTCATCTTGGGAATGGTTTTACATGCATTTTATATGCATTCTGCATTTTTATATGCAGAATGCAAAACAGAATAGATAGAAGATAAATAAGGAAAGAGAGAACTTAATATTATAAACCAACTAGACCTAACAGATATATAAAACACTCCAAACATTGGCACAAGTTCTTCACAAGTGTACGTGGAACATTCTCCAGAATAAACCATATGTTGGACCTCAAAACATTTAATTCTCAATCAATTTTTAAAAATTAAAATCATATAAAGTATCTTTTTAGACTACAATGAAATAAAACTAGAAACAGAAGAAATACTGGAAAAATCTCCAAATATGTGGAAATTAAGTATTGCCCTCTTAAACAGCCAGTGAGTCTAAGAATCACAAGGAAAATTAGAAAATAGTTTGTGATGAATAAGAACAAAACACAACATACAAACTTTATGGGATGTAGCAAAAGCAATGCTCTGAGGGAAATTTGTAGCCTATAAACACCTAAATTAAAAAAGAAAGGTCTCAAATCAATAACCTAACTTTATACCTTAAGGAACTAACTAAATAAATAAACAAACTCAAAGCTAGCAAAAGGAAGAAAATAACAAAGATTACAGGGGAGATTAAAAAAAAAAAACAGATAATAAAAAACAAAAGAGAATCAATGAAACCAAAAATTTATTCTTTTAAAAGATAAAAAAGTTAACAAGGCCTTTAGTTAGAAAAAGAAAAAAACCAGAGTATTCCAACTAGTAAAATCAGAAAAAGCAGGGACATTACCAACCTTAGAGAAATGAAAAGGATTCTACTAGAATATTATGAGCAATTATATACCAACAAATTAGATAATCTAAATGAAATGGACAGATTACCAGAAACACAAAAACTGCCAAAAGCAACTCAAGAAGAAATCGAAAATCTTCATAGACCTATAGCATGTAAAGAGATTGAATCAGTAATCAAAAACCTCCCGACAAAGAAAAACCCAGAACAAGATGCTTCCACCAAACATTTAAAGGTGAATTAACATCGATCTTTCTCAAATACTTTTAAAAAATAGAATAGAAAGGAACACTTTTTAACTCATTCTATGAGGCCCTGATACCAAAGCCAGACAAAGACATCACAAGAAAACTGCAGACCAATATCCCTTATAAATATAGAGTCAAAAATCCTCAACAACATCTAGCTAAAACTAGAAAATTCTTAGAAGAAAACATAAAAGCAAATTTTCATGACTTTGAATTTGTCAGTGATTTCCTAGATTTGACACCAAAAGCACAAGTAACAGCAAAAAATAAACTGGGCTTCATCAAAATTAAAAGCTTTGGGCCATCAAAGGACACTGTCAAGAGAGTGAAAAGACAACTCTCAGATGGGAAAAAATATTTGCAAGTCATATATCTGATAAAAGTCTTACATCCAGAATGTATGAACTCTTTTAACTCAGCAACAAAAAGACAACCCGGTTACAAAATGGACAGAAGACTTGAATAGACAATTCTACAGAGAAGATATGCAAATGAAAAATAAGCACATGAAAAGATGCTGAATGTCATTAGTCCTTAGAGAAATGTAAATCAGACCCATAATGAGACACTACTTCACACACACTACTATAGCTATTATAAAAAAAAATATCGCAAAATAAGTGCTCATAAGAATGTGAAGGAAAAAATTGGAGCCCTTAAACTTTGCAGATAGGAACGTAAAATGGTGCAATCACTGTAGAACACAGTTTGTCAGTTCTTCAGAAAGTTAAATATGAAATTACCATGTGACCCATCAATTTCACGCTCCAGTACATACCCCCCAAAAATTAGAAACAAGTATTCAAACAAAAACTTGTAAAAGGAATATTCTTAGCACTATTCACAGTAGCCAAAAGGTGTATATAACATAAATGTCTATCAATGGATAAATGGATAAATGAAATGTGTTAACATCTATACATTGGAATTTTATTCACCCATGAAACGTAGCGAAGTTTTCACATATCCTACATTTATGAACCTTGAAAACAATGTTAAGTCAAATAAGCCAGACCAAAAGGCCACATACTCTATGGTTCAATTTATATGAAACCTCCAAAATAAGCAAATCCATAGAGATAGAAAGCAAGATTACAGTGGCCAAGAGCTAGGGGAAGGAGAGAATAGGAGTGACTGCTTACTGGGTGTAGTGGTGTTTCCTTCTGGGATGATGAAAATGTTCTGGAACTAGATAGTGGTGATGATTGCACAACATTATGAATGTACTAAATGCTCCTGAATTGTATTCCTTAACATGATTAAAATAGTCAATTTTATGGTCTACCACAATTTAAAAAAATGCTAAGCTTAAATATGTAAAACATTATAGCAGCTATACTCTATGCAAAACAATATTACATTATTATATATACATATAACAAAAGAGATTATATCATAGAAGCAGTCTTACAAGATGTATTCCTAATAGTCTGTGCTATGTAGAGCAGAAGGACTATATCTTCCTGACCCAGTGCCTATTTAGAAAAATAAATTTTAAAATAACTTCAGTATTTTGATCTATGCATATTTTCTGATGTTCAACTTTGATGTTTCCAAGAGAAACACAATATTATAATCAGCTAGCAGATTTGCGGCCTTAGAAACACCTTTTCAAAACAATCTGTCCCTGAATAGGTTCATGAAATCTACGTATTTTATTGAAAAATGCCAAGTTCTGAATCAAC